TATACATTCTTGACAAGTTCTTAGTATTGGGTTCTAACAATTCTGTTTCTAATTTCGACCTCTCCATCTGAAAACCTATTTTCCTGCCCTCCAGATGTTTTGGACTGCAAACTCTGGCCATACCTGGCTGGAGATGATGGGAACCAGGAGTCCAAAACATCTGAAAGGCATCAGGTTGGGTTAAGGCTGGCTTTGGACAATATTTTAAACTACAGGGGAAAGGGGTGGGGGTGGGGAAAGCATGAGTCCACACAAGGCTCTGTGATATATGGAGAGCTAATCTGAGCACATAGCCTGCTGATAGAGATTTAAGACAGGATAGCTTCACATGGCTTGCCTGATTTAACTAGAGAGCTTACTATGCACTGAAATGGAGGTAAGGTCATCCATCAAATAAGTTAGCTTTCTTAAAAAAATGAAGGAAAGAAAAACCTTCTGAGAGGTTCATGGCTTTGAGCCTTACAAGCAGTGTGCACCATACATGCAATGCCGATCTTCCTTTGCACTTCCCCTCGGGAAGAGGGGTTTGAATGATAGCCTAAATTCTGATGCAGAAAATGAAGAAGGGGGAGGGGGGTTGTCTCCAAAGGCAAGGCAACAAATGGCTCCTGAAAATGGCTGAAATCTGTCTTGCTCCAGATTTAAGGAGGTCTAGTCTTTCTCAGTCACACCAAGGACTTCATTCTATAAAGCTGAATAGATTCCAGGTCCAAAAGACTGCACCATCAGTCTCATTGTCTGCTGGTATACCTCTTATTGCTCCCATGGAACTGCAAACACTTATCTCGTCTATCATTCCCCTAGTTCTCCCATTCCCACAGACATAGAAAGCTGCCTTATACTGATTCATGTCACCAATCCTTCTAGCTCAGGGGAACCTCAGGCCTGGGTTCCAAAGGGACCGCTACCCCTCTGTAGCAGATCTGGCAAAGGGGCACACAAGGTTACAAAGGGAAGAAGATCAATGAAAAAGAAGCCTGCTCAGTCAAGGAAGCTTTTGCCAGCAGAGAAATATGATTGGATACAGCCCACAATCTTTATATTAATTGGCACATGAACATCATACGCAAAGATGTATTGAATATTGTATACGTACCCATGAAAGAGAATTTCACTATATGCATGAGAGAAACACACATTTAAGAGCAAAATACATGACATGCAGTGCTGCATTACTTTTCAACTACAGTGGTACCTCGGGTTAAGAACTTAATTCGTTCTGGAGGTCCTTCTTATCCTAAAACTGTTCTTAACCTGAGGTACCACTTTAGCTAATGGGGCCTCCCGCTGCCGCCACGCAATTTCTGTTCTCATCCTGAAGAAACGTTCTTAACCTGAGGTACTATCTCTGGGTTAGCGGAGTCTGTAACCTGAAGCATCTGTAACCCGAGGTACCACTGCACTGGAAAAGGCAAAGTGTTGAGAAGGAGCAAAGTGACTCTGAAAGAGAGCTACAAATTCCTCTCTGCACTGCCACGGGCCAGCAAATAATCCAATTTTCATCTGCTCTAATTGATACCTTCTTCCCCAGTCTTGTTAAAAGGGAAGGTGGGCACAAAGGAGATGTGATTATTTCCCACACCAGCCAGCTTTCGCTTTCTTAGGTCCTATGAAACACAAGCCCCACCTGACCCTTTCAAAGACAGTCTGAAAACATTTCAAGTAGTGTGTGTGCATGCAGGGGAACCCTCTGTGCAGCCATTTCACTTTAAAGGGCATGACAGCACCGTGAAAACAGAAGGGGAATAAACTGCAAAGATATATGCAACGTTTACAGCCAAATGAAAGCAGCTGTTGAAAGAGAGAGGGGGCACCTGAAAGCAGGGGACGGTGCTCGGGATGTAATGTGGTGCTCTCAATTTACACGTTTGCATTTTCACAATGTTCAAAAGTGCAGTCCTGCCAAGCACTCCATGGGAGGCCAGGGGGAACAGCAGGTAGGGACACCGTCCTCCCGCCAGGCTCTCGTTCTGAAGCCTTACTAGTCCACAGAAGGAGACAAGGAAGAAGCCAGAAGAGCCAAGAGGCTGAGTGGCAAAATCCCTTTACATTGTTGCCTGCATCCCATTTTAAAACATGTTTAATCAGGCCTTAGCTGAAACATGGAACAAGATGCTGAGGTTAAGGGAGTGGCGCAAGAGATGCCCGTTGCCAAAAACGAGCTCCCAATTCAGATTAAATGACAATCCAGATGAATCCAGATAATGGTTTATGGATCAGTTGTGTTCAAGTGTGGAAGGATTTACCAAGATATCTTCCAGTTATGCTACAGGCTCAACAAATGTGATTATTTGGATTCTGAGTAATAACTTGCAAGTAACAGTGTAGCTGCCTTCTGCCAGGGGGATTAAATGATAATGTGGAACAAGTGCCTTCAGGAGAGGGGATTTAAAAGTCAACACAGTTGCACTCTAAGACAAATACCTCCCTGAAGATATGTTGGATGAAAACTCTTTCTTTCTCCAAAGCCCTCCTAAAAACACCTCTCCTAATCCGAAATCAGAAACATTCTTTTCCAGTTTGCCACCATTCCATCTAGCAGTCTCTGTTGTATCCCCTCTGTCAGAATTTAATAATAATAATAATAATAATAATAATAATTTATTTATACCCCACCCATCTGGCTGGGTTTCTGCAGCCACTCTGGGCGGATTCCAACAAAATATTAAAATACAATAGTATATTAAACATTAAAAGCTTCCCTAAACAGGGCTGCCTTCAGATGTCTTCTAAAAGTCTGGTAGTTGTTTTTCTCTCTGACATCTGGTGGGAGGGCATTCCACAGGGTGGGTGCCACTACCGAGAAGGCCCTCTGCCTGGTTCCCTGTAACTTGGCTTCTCGCAATGAGGGAACCGCCAGAAGGACCTTAGTGTCCGGGCTGAACGATGGGGGTGGAGACACTCCTTCAAGTATAATGGACCGAGGCTGTTTAGGGCTTTAAAGGTCAGCACCAACATTTTGAATTGTGCTTGGAAATGTACTGGGAGCCAACATAGGTCTTTCAAGAGGTCTCATATTGTGGGACCAAGTGCTCTTCTTGTAATCTTTGAAGCACCTATGCTGTTGTTAATGTCACCCAAATGGTCCTTACTAACATGCTGGGCAGGCAGTGATTCAGAGAAGTAGGAGTCCCAGCCTCCTGGCAGGGCTGTGTTTGTTTGTTTGTTTGTTTGTTTGTTTGTTTGTTTGTTTGTTTGTTTGTTTTGCTTTATTCCAACTTTGCCACAGTCTAACAGGAGAAATCCCTCTCAAACAGCCTCTTTTCCTCAGCCTCTAAAACTAGTAGCAGTAGTAACTGGAAATAATGGACTACCTGCTCAGAGGAGACCCATTAAAAGAAATGGAGTTATTATTATTATTTATTATTTATTGAATTTATATACCACCCTGTACCTGGGGGTCTCAGGGTGGTTCACAGAATAAAATCAAGACATAAAATCACAAAACACCCAATAGCGCCCCCCCCAAGAACACACTTTAAAAGGGCATAGGATGTAAACTGGATCAACCAAAGGCCTGGTTGGAAAGGAATGTTTTTGCCTGGGGCCTAAAGGTGTTTAATGAAGATGCCAGGTGAACTTCCCTGGAGAGTTAAGGTAGTCAGGGGTAACTTAAGTTACCTATGATTTCACAAGGTCTAGCTCTGAGTGCAACTTAGTCAGGTGCAACCCTTAAAGTTAGATAAATTTGTTATTTTTTGCACCGACGATTTTGCTTTGCTTCAGATGCGAGGGCTAGAGCTCAGTGCCTGCAAAAGGCCCCAGGATCAATCCTTAGAATCTCCAGGTAGGGCTGGGAAAGATTCTCTGCCTTCCTGCTGCTGCCAGTCAGTGTTGACAATACAAGGCTAGATGTGGCAAAAGTCGTGACGCCAGCAAAAGGCAGCTACCTAGGTTCCCACGCAGTCATGACAACTCTACTAATTAGTCTGAAACTTCCTAAAAATAGAAATGGCAGTCTCATCTCCACAACCAAACAATTCAGTCCTTGGCTTCCCTGCTGCTGCCGCCAAGCACAATGGGACAGCTACTTACAAACACATGCCAAAAATTCCAATGCACCATCTGTTTGCACACTAGTTCATGTGCAAATAAAGCATTTGCATATTATTAGACTTGCAAATGTGATTATATTGCAAAAATAATAAGGGCTAAAAATAATGTTAACAGTTGAAACACTTATTTATAAAGACGTGAAAAAATGACTGAGAAACTATTGTACTTAATATACCAAACTGTCATTTCGTCTCTTTTTTTAATGACTATGACACTTTAGACTGGAAGCATTTGATTAAAAGAGATTTAATACAAGCAGCTTATAGTATCTTGGGGTATACAGCAATGAGGAATATGAGCACTGGAAGTAAAAAAAAAAAAAAAAATCTGCTAGACCGCAATGCATAAACTAATTAATGAGCCAACAAGCCTATTTGTTTATGTCATTATAGGAATTCATATCCTGCCCTTCAAATATATTCTTGGCCATCTTACAATACAAAATCAAATAAACAGTAAAATCATTTTAAAAACATGATTTGCATCATTTCATGATTTGCATTGTTACAATTTAATCAGAAATAGTGATGTCAAGAATTCCAATGAAAATGAAAATGGTAATAGAAATTACTAGTGTTCACTTGTATGTCCCATGTCCAGAATAGAAATCAATCCAGCAAATATTATTGGCATTTGCTATTGCTGCTGCTTTCAGTCTGCAAATGAGATGCAATTGATTGTGTTCCTGTCATCTGCAGACTGTTTCCTTTGCACTTAAATGAACGGGGTAGAATAATGTAATGAAAACTTAACTTACGTAATTTCACCACGGTGGAAAATAAGACAAATAATGTAATTATAATTATTTTTTGCATAAGATAAACTGCAGTGGAACAGAAACAGCACTGCATGTGACAAATATAAGGTGAACTGAAAAATGATTCCGTCTTATATCCCTAACCAGAAAGCAAATCCCAAATACGTTCAGGGTCAAGCAAACTTACTTGGAAAGGAGGATGACACAGTTCTGTGCTCTCCGGCCATCAATCACAGAAAGCTCTTTGACCTTTCGGGTGGACAGGTACAAATCTTCGGTTGATCCCATTTCCTTCTATAAATAGTTTTTAAAAAACCATGAAAATCAGTGCCATATATTTTTCCTCCTCCTCCTTTTTTTTCTGCCAGTGCAGAAGTGCCACTAGCTAGCCAGTGCTCCAAGCCCAAAGAGTTGAACTTGTGTGGAAATCCATCTGAGATGCAGGATTGTAATGAAAGGGAAGATTAAGGAAGCCTAGGGTAGATTTCTCTGTCCTAGTTCACCAGCTAAACCAGAAACATTTACTTGCAGATAATGGTACATTTACAAACACTGAGGATTATGTGTGCGTTGTGTGTGTGCATATGTCTAGATGTATAAAGTAGGTCTGTTTCTCCTCTCCTTCCCAGCACTGTAAACAGGATTGCATGTGCAGGTTGAATTAAAGTTTTATAGCACAATTAATTTTACACCACATTATTATTATTTTTTAAAAAAGAACTAAGGAAAAAGCCACATGCATTATGGTGCTGTGCATGCCCTGGCACCCCAAGAAACACAATGTGTCCCCCAAAAACCAAGCAATGCTAAATCAGGTACCAGTTGTGGATTACAAATAAATAGTGAACATTGAATAAAATCTCTCCACTTCTGCCCAAAGAGGAAAACACCGGGCAGGTTCTTTGGAATGGAGCAAGATACGTGAAAAGGACAGTGGTTTTCCATGCTCCCTCCTTCCCTTGAAATTCATGCAAGGAAATCCTTATTATCTCCTCTCCACCTGCTAAAGTGCAAATAAAAGTGAAGGGTTTCTCATGCAGTAAACAGTGTCGGTCGTGCATCTGCTTCTGCTGAGTCTGCTAATGTAAACAGTGGAATAGAACTCTGAAAGTCAGAAAGAGGACAGACAGTACTCACCTGCTTACAGGAAGAAGGAGGGTTAGTTAGCAGGTCCTACTCAGGCAGGATTCGAAGAGAACAGAGAAGGAAACATGCCAACAGTTAGCCACAGCAATAAAAGGCACAGAGTTTACCAAAGCAACAGCATTTGGGTTTCCTAAGTGATTAAAACGCTATGCCAGCAAAATGACTTTTTTTAATGAAAAGAACCAAAGAGGAAATACATCCAGGTCTGTTCTTCTCTCGGCAAGCAGTGAGCTTGCATATTTTGTGCAAAAATACTGCAGACAGTAATTATCAGTGCAATCCTTTGCACATCTGCTCAGAACAGCTGGTCCTATGGAGTTGAAGAACTGCAGTCTAAGCCTCTGAACTCCTTTCTGCAACAGCCATATAACCACCATTTTAAAGCAAGGAATGAATGCACTGAATTGCCTAACAAGGATTAGTCAGGGAGTTCAAAGTAAATTCTACTCAAAACTAAGCATTTGAGTAATATTGTCTCATCCTTTTATAACTAACAGCAGATACATTTCTAGGGAGGGGAGAACAGACCCTTTGTCTTTTCAAAGGATGAAGGAGCAGTTTGATATAAAGGAAAGCGAGAAGAGACATATTAATACCATATTAATTGCACTGAAGAAAGAAATGCTTCATTCATGCTCTTAAGAACAAAAGAACTAGGATTTGTTTTGACGTTTGAATTTGGATGCATTTGTTTAAAGTTTAAAAGTCACAAATTTGGGCTAAGTTTTATAAGCAGAGATATCCACAAGCTTTTCACCCCTGCAATTCCCCTTCCTGGTGCACCATGATAAACTAGGATGTCTTCACATAACCACCCACCCAATTACATTCAAAGCAGGAAGTTTCCAGGTTTGGAACAAGCCAGGATCTTAAACTGCAGTCTTAAGAAGCTGTGATCATTTGCACGCCTCTGCTGTCTTTCCTTTACCAAAGGCCCAGAAAACTATCTTAAGGTAAGGAAAGGAGGTGGTAGTAGATGTTCTCCAGGTCCCAACAGAGGACTGTAATTGGAACCACAAGTCTGCACAACATTTCTGTCAAGGATTCTAGGACTTTTAGCCCCAGCTCCCAGTGAGATAAGATGCCCTGCCAGGGCCTGGGGATCACCCAACTGCCTCTACAGCCTTGCCCTATCCTGCCCAAAGGTAGGTTTCTGGGCAGGAAAAGGTGAGATAACAAAGGGCACATTTGCGAGAATCCTTTGAGCTTTTTTGTGAGCATTCAAACCCAGTGCCTGCAAAAAAAAATTGAGCCTTTGCACACATCCAGTTGGAATGCTTACAAAGGCCTGGCCCCTTCTGAACTGAGCAGCAAGACACTCATGAACTCCTGGCCAAGGGGGCTAGAGATTAATCTCAAGTGGCGCCTAGAGACAGAGCAGACTGTGCGCTGTCGGTGGCAAGTTGTACTGACTGGCAGGAGCTGTGCCAGTTAGAAAACAGGGAAACCCAAGGCAGAATGGAAACTGAAGTTTCCACGTTAATTCAGAAATGGCCAGCCAAATCTTCAGAACTTTCTTGTCCTCCAAAAAGTGCATTTTGCAGAGATTCACACAAATAAAATGGCCCCAATCCAGGGGGAGCTAAGAGGTGTTGTAGTCAGGGAGGTTTATGGATTTATTCACTAATAGCTTTCATTGGTTCCATGTCGTAATAGCTGGAACAGGAGAAAATGTCAGAGGATTTAAAATTAGAAATAGCTCTTCTTGTATTTTGTTTGTGATGCCACACTAAAAGGGGGGAATTATATAATAGGGTCCACCACTTTATATTATTGGATAGGAATGATTTAGGTTACAAAGCACCTTTGGGCTGTCATTTTAACAACAGCAGGCTGTTTCAAGACATTTGGAAGAGACCATGTTTTTGGAATACATTCCAATAGTTAGGAAAGAATTTGGGAAGCAGGCAGGATGGGGGGAGGGCAAAACTCCATGGTACTGTTCTAGCTGAATTTCATTCATCAGAGGCAGATAGAATGCAGGTGACTTGCTTTCCAAGAAAAGGAGACAGAAATGCTAATAAACAGCTGCTGTTAAAATAATGTTGCTAATGTTATAATCTGTAACTCATTTGTTGGAAAGAAAAAGAAAGGGGGAAATAAGTGAAGCGACCCCCCCCCCAGCCAAACTAATCCAATCTCACTACTGAAAACTCTAATTACTCAGAAAGTTTTATTCAAGAGGAGTAGGGTTGCAAGAGCTAGTGCATAACAGAAAAGAAGAAAACACAAAATCAGTAGCACTGGATACAAAGATCAAGTCTGAGAGAACAATAAGAACCCCAAACAAGCTACAAGTTCAAATAACTGCTTGCTTGCTTTTTCCTTTATTTCGCACTAAGGTTAGATGCAACTGCAGAGTTTAAAGCAGGTGTAGTCAACCTGGATCTCTCCAGATGCTGTTTGACTCCAACTCCTATCAGCCCCAGCCAATGGTCAGGATTGATAGTAGTTGCAGTTGAGCAACATCTGAAAGGCCACAGGTTCCACATCCTGCTTTAATCCAAGATAATGTTAACACAGCTGCTTTATTGTGCTCCTGTCTTTAGCTTCGGGGCTGAGGTCAACATCTAGCATCCCTGGGAAGCTGCTGAGCCACTGTCAGGTAGACCACTGCCAATGTCACTTCTGGGCTCTGCTTTATGCTATTTCTCAGCCTGCTGCTCCAAGCAAAACCAGATGGCTTGGTTGAGGGCCCATCTCCCATGATTCCCCAGTGCCTCTGCACCATACTGATGGCTGCCACCAACACTAGGTGTGCCCAACAGAACTCACTGATGGAGGAGGGAGCCAACTGGAGGGAACTTTGCTCAGTCCTGCCCCCTTCCTACCTGCAGCTGGCCTTGCTTACTTTGAAATCTATGAGAAAACAGTCCCCACTGCTTGCTCCTCTCCACTGGTGCACTCAGTCCTGGAAACTATTTCTGCAAAGAAGCCCAGGAAGCTCAGGGTTTAGAGTGACAAGAAATGAAAGGAAAACGCCTTACCTGGTGTCTCTGATAAGCTGAGAACATTTTTTCAAAATCCTCCAAATCCAGCATCTTGAAAGCCCTTAAATCATCAATTTCATGCCAGATTGTGCCATGTATCTTCTCCTACAGTCCAAAGAGATACAGAAACATTCAGGGAACAAATAACAATGAAGGCTTGAAGCAGTGTGTGTGTGAGAGAGAGAGTGAGAGAGAGGGGGGGAGAGGGAGAATTATTAAGGTCAAACCCCACTTAAGGTCAGCAGGAAAAAGGCAGAGGGAAATTGTGCACTTCAGAAGAATCAGATGAGTGAGTATCATTATGTAGTCTTCTCCCAATCCATTTAATTACAGTTAACACTGTAACATGTAACACCAAACCAGAAATGGTGGCTTAATGCTCAAGTTCTCTTCATCTGCTATATTCTCTAAGTAGCAAAACAAGCCAGGATCCATCACTTAACCATAGCTTCCCATTGCACTGGGCAGGATTCACCTACTGAACCCCATCAGCAGGCGCCCTGTGCTTCCAACTTGCACCATGGGGCTTCCCTCCCCCCCCATACCTGTGTCCCCCATGTCGGAAGAACCCCCCAGAACAGCACAGGAGGAGGAGACTGGTATGTTCTGTCCCGGAAGCCGACATTCTTGCACAGATGGGACATCTGTAATAGCGCAACGTTGAATCCCACCCTTTGTGGAGCCAGAAACTATGGTTAATGGCTTCAAAACAAGACAGGATACGGAAGCCATGTTTTTAAATGTGCCTTATGAATCCACGCTTGTTTGGAAGCCACTGAGCCTTGCTTCTTGGTCTGCACTCTAAAATCTGCTTGCAAAAGAATTTCATTGCAGTTTTTTTGTTTAACTGTGAAGTGTCCCCAACATCAATGAACAAAGGCACTGTTAATGTAAAATTGTTAATTTTATGCTAAAGAACTGGAGACTTTAAAAAGAACACAGAAATGTTCGTGGGGGGGGGGGACTCAAGGAAATCACATTGGCAACAATGATGATTTTCACAGCATGTGGTGTCTTATGGTCCCAAAGAAAAGATTACCAAAGAGACCTCTCAAAGGATCCTGGCCTGAAAGTTCCTGAAGTGCACTCACGCAACAAAGTGCATTAACACTTCATTATTGAACTAATTAGGAACAGCCTCCATTTCCCACTCACAGTCATTAAAAAGAGCAAGAGAAATGTGTTATGCTAGAAAGGAAACAAGTTGATGGTCAGAGCAAAAAGAGCAGAGCCTTTTAAGAAATAAGATGATTAAAGGAAGGAAAAGGTTTTTTTTTAAGAAATACAGAAGTTAAAAAAAGGCATAGCAATGTGCATTTGCACTGTCTTGAGGTGGCTGGTTGGTCTGCAAAGCTGTACTCCCATATCAGTGCTTTTTTAGCTGGTATGAAATACCATAACCTCTTTTTTTGCAGCCCATGGCAGTCATTTTATGCTGGTACCCACAACACTTATCAAGATATGAGTGCTCACACTCATCAAAAGTGTTGGTCCTTATCCGATGTGTGGAGCTGAGATGACCAAAGTTGACTTGTGCCCCTAGATTATTGGAGCTACTTAGAGGTGCATCCGTTTTTCTGGGAGAATCCTAAATATTTTCTTCATGGAGCGAGAAGCTCAAAAGCTGAACTTTGGAAAACTAAATTTTCCATGGGAGCAATGCTTATATTCATGAGACAGCACAGGCTCCACCATGAGAGTTAAGGACAACAAACCAAACCATCCTTTTTGCTATGTCCACTGCTGTCACCAAAACTTCATTTTTTTCTCTGGCTGTCTCCACTAAATAGCTCTTTAACCTTCCAGAATTGGCCCAACGTATTTTCAATACTGGGTAGAATAGCATGTCACTGAATGACAAGGCCTCAGACCAAATTATTCTAAATCAAATTATGCCTTTACTTAAGAAATTATGCCTTACTTTAGTAAGGCAACAAGTTAAACAAGTTTTGGGGAAGCAATTTTAGGGGAAAAACCACTATTTTCGCCATTTGAGTAGTACAAATGAAAAAATAAACAGATATTAATGGCTAAATTTATATTTCTCTATTATTGCCTAGCTTGACCTTCCTGTGTAAAACTTCCTGGTGGAGGGAAACCTCCCATTCCCGTGCTGACCCTTTTTACTCATGGGAAAATGGACGGCTGGGACAGACAACGTCCTTACACTGCATTCTCATTGCTCAGTTATGAATTAAGAAATTTGTAGCCGCTTTTCATCAGTCAAAATGACTGAGTATTGCGAGTGAAACAAAAGATTCACCTAATGACAAATTATTCCCTTAGCTCCAAAAACATAGTTATGGTCACTAATCAGCAATATAAAAATACAACAAATTCTTGTTCTTTTGGTTCTTTTTAAAAAAGTTACTTCATCTGTGCATCATTCCATTTCCCCGCTTAATGAGATATTTTTATTCCATGTGAACCTTGGAGAATTAGTTATCTGGCTTCTCTGCTATGCAAAAAGTTTTAGTCCATTATGAGAAATCAGACCTGTGAACAAAATTTCCCAGGACTCCCCAGAGATTGCCTAAGACATAAAGCAAAAAGTATTTGGAGCACACACAATTAACCAGAGTACATCTTTATAAGGAACTGGCCCTGCAGAGAGGATTTGTTTCTCAAATACATTGTACAATCCCATTGCCTCATGTCACTGTGCACTGACATACTTGAAATAAAGTACAGTCCTCTGGGAGAGAAACTAGAGATAAGCGAAGCACAGAGAATGGTCATAGCAGGATGCCTCCCTACAAAATGGTTTGTTTCTATGCCCTCTTGCTAGCAAACTACATCATAAACCCAAACCCAAGCATGCAGTCAACTGCCCTAAATGCACTAATCTCTGTTTTGCCATGAAAAGAGAATCAAGGAAAATGGAATGAATTTTGAACATGGGGATGCAAGGCCTGTTCATGATCAAAAGAACATGCTGAGGACTGTGATTTATCATTCATTTTTGGCCTGGCTATAGACAGCAGAAGAGACTCATTGCCAAGTCTTTACTTTTTTACAGTGCAACTGGCTATTTCCCTGGCCGAAACCATAGACAAGGAATGGGGAATCTGTGGCTCTCCAGATGTTGCTGAGACTACTCTTCCCATCATTTCCGAGCACTGGCCATGCTGGCTGCGGTTGATGGGAACTAGAGTCCAATGGTATATGGAGGGTTGACCATTTCTGCCAGAGACCCTTCCCTCAACAGAATACCCTTGTACCCAAGCAAATGACATATTCCAGGTTACTGTGAACTTTTGAAGGGAGTTCTTGTTAGGAAATGGGACGTGCTTATTTCACTGAAAAGGCAGTACAAGTTTCAGCATAAATTGTTCACTTCCTCATCCTTGCAAACTCTGAATTCGTCAGGTACATTCATTATGCACAAAGTCCCCACAGCTATCCACAAACATTGCTTTATTTCGTTATTTCCTTGTTCTTCACCGTGGCCCTTTCTTTCAAGTGTCTTTGTCTCCAAAAGTTCATCCATCTAGGGCAGGTGGGTCAGAAGGAAAGGGTTAAATGAGTGTGAAGTGATTGGCCAGTGGGAACACGAGGGGAGGAGTTAGAGTTAGAGTTGGAGTTGCGTGGAAGTCAGTTGGGAGTTGGAGAAGGCAGAGGGAGGATAAGTCTGTGGGTTGGTCGAGTTTTGGTCGAGTTTTGATGTGAGAGAGAGTAACTGATAGGAGGAGTCAGATAGACAGTTGGGATAATCAATTAGCAGTTTTTAGGAAACTAAGGATAAGAAACTGACAAGAAAAATTAACTGAAACCATAAACTTGTTCATGCTTATAAAATAAACTTGATTATTTGTTTTAATGTTAACAACTGTCTGGACTCAGGGTATACCCGAGAGAAACGGGTTGGTGGCAGCGGGGAAGTGAACATAGTGGTGGCACAGGGATCAATAGACCGTCAAACATCCGGGGACCCTGTGTGATCGCCACAGGCAGGCATGTCAAAAGTCCGTTTCAGGGACCTAATGCGGCCTGCTAGTCGATTTAATCAGGCCCCCGTGGCAGTATATGTCCTGGGGTAAAATTGTAAACAAAAAAGCTCAACTTCAATCCTAAGAAAAGCTCAACAACTTTGGTTGGCCCTCATGCATGTTCACTTCATCAAATCTGGCCTTCTTTGGAAAAAGTTTGGGCACCCTAGGGGTTTTATTTGTCATTTTAGAGTCTATGAGCTGAAATGTATGCCTTACATCAGTGTTCCCCAACCTTGGGCCTCCAGATGTTTTTGGACTACAACTCCCATCATCCCTCGCTAGCAAGACCAGTGGTCAAGGGTGATGGGAATTGTAGTCCAAAAACAGCTGGAGGCCCAAGGTTGGGGAACACTGCCTTACATTTCCTTCTGGGAAGCAAGCAAAACATTTATTCCAGAATGCCGAAGCATTTCAGTTCTATTTCTTAAGCGGCCGGGTAGCCAATGTAGTGCCTTCCACATGGGGTTGCCGCAAAATTCCCGTCATTCTTGACCATCAGTCACATTGGCTGGGGCTGATGTGAGTTGGTGTTCAATAATGTCTGCAAGGCTCCATGTTGGCTGCTCCTGGTATTAAGGTTTCTAAAGAGTCATTTCATAGAAGGTGTTAACCACAGGCAAGTTAGTGCAATGCTTCCATGTGTTCAGTATCAAATGTTTCTGACTGAGTTAATGTAACAAAAGTAAGGGTGTCAAGGGAAATTAGTGAGTTGTTGCAGTTTTCTCCCTGGAAACAAAAGCATCCTTCACCCCAGCTCTTTTTGAAGTCTTCCTCTTTTGGCCCAAGAGTGATGTAAATTGAACAGCTTGACAACAAGAACTGGAAAACATTTCCACATCTTTAAGATAAACAATACAGCTGTATTTTCCTCCTTTGTTAAACAGTGACCCTAATAAAGTCCTGCAACCCTACATTGTAAAAAGGTAGGCCTCCCACTGCGAAATCCAGATTTCTTCATCAGTTATTATTGTTCCTTTTAGGCTGCACAATCTCAATTAATTCCTTGGAATAGCCAGTAGGAACTGGAATAGACATCTGCCAGATGCCATATGGTGTGACACTACTCTCTTATTTTTACTGGTCATAGAAGATGGGCTGGTGGACCAAAGGCTGAACCAGAGTTTAAGTTAATATTTGTGAGGGCCAAACTACATGCTGTGCTTCAGATCTGTGGGCAGTATGCAACTAAATAGTTGCCTTAGAGCAAGGGTGAGCAATGGCACAACAGGCCTACCGCCATCCCTAAATCTGTTCTGAAGAGTTGGGGGGGAAGCCCAGATCAAATCTACAGGATGTTCAGGGTGAGGAGCAGGAGAAGGGGAGAATGCTCTGTTGTGCAAGGAGCAACCCTTATGCTAATATAATGATCACCATAGTGCTACACAGAATACAACCCTGAGATTGGATCTTCCTACATTTTTGCTTTGACTGAAATGCAACTGCAGAAAGAACCCCCCTCCCTCCATTGCTCACAGCTGAAGATCTAAGAAAAGGTTTCCCAAACTCGGGTCTCCAATTGTTTTTGGACTACAACTAGTGGTCAGGGATGATAGGAATGGTAGTCTAAAAACAGCTGGAGACCCACATTAGGGAAACCCTGATGTAGGAGAAGGGTTACCTTATCCCTTTCTTCAGTACTCTCTCCTCCATCTAAGTTGCCCCCCCCCTCAAACTGCCCCTCATGGGAAAAACAACAGTATTGTCCTCCCTCCCCAGGAAAGCAACAGCTCTGGGTGTTATGCATGTTCCGATTTAGGTAAAGGAAAGGGGTACAAGGAGAGAGAAAAAGTAATTGATCATGAATTTTTCACATGGCATTCTTTGCTCTGTGGTGATGGTGGGGTCTCAAGGCCTCTTATAAGAACATGACGAGAGAGCAATCAAACAACCTGAAGTTTTGAAACTAAAATCAGCCCACCACTTTAAAGGGAAAAACAAGCTGTGTGAGTTGAAGGGCAGCATCATGTGATGCTGTAGGCCTGTGCCACTTCAGATGAGACAGTGAGGAGATGAAATAAATTCCCTCCCACAACATTAAAAATAAACACCCCACAGCACATGCCCTGTACAAATACAACACAAAGAATAGAATGTGATAGCTTTCTAGTTAAAGCTAAAGAACCACCACCTCTGGAAACAGAAAAGCATTCACTAACCAGAAATATTAATCATGGCAAACGCTTATCATATCCTCCCAATACTATTCTTGCAGGCCCCAAAATAGCATTTGCATTCACCTCTGAAGCCCCCATTTATTAGCACAGCTGCCTCCACTCTTAACCAGAGGGGAGGATAAGTCTGTGGTGGCTGCATGCTAAAGAGAAACACCTGTGTGTCCCTCTCTACTTTATTTTCCCCTCCCACTAGTATGTGTGTTTGTGTAGTTGTTACATCTTTCCTTCGAAGCGCTAAGTCCTGTGTTCTGAAAATGAAAATAAATCCCTGTCTTACATTCTCTCCCACAGCCCCACGTGGCTCTGACAGACAAGCACAGGCGGAGCAGCAAATACTTCACTTCATCTTATTTTAAAAGAAATTGGAGGGGGAGGGAGAGAGAGAGAGAGAGAGAGAGAGAGAGAGAGAGAGAGAGAGAGAGAGAATTCTTGTGGCATTCCAGAGGTCCCAGGACACTCATTCCAAATGCCTGAGTTGAGTCCTGAGTGACTTGGAGTCTAAAAAAGAGTGTGGATTTCTAGGCAGTCACCCAAATTCAACACAGACACTGTTCAATCTGTGTGTTTTTTTTCTTTTTTTAAAAAAAGAAAACAACAATGCCAAGAGAGAAACAGGGGTAGGAGGGAATATAGGGGTGGGAGAGGTTACAGATCTTGGACAGAATGAATGTGCCATGCAAAAATTAGTCTGGAGACTCCTCCAGAAGGATGTACTATGAAGAGTTTTACCAGGGTTGGGAGAGAATAGGGGAATTGTATTCAAGCATGATTACATAATGCATAAGCTGTCATCAATATTGCATTTTTTCTTAGAAATCATCCCTGCAACTATTCAGCGTTTCACACATCTGAATCAACCTGGTCCTTTCAAAGAGGGGCCATGAATAATGAGGAAGGAAGGAGAAGCATTTTACACTTTATCTTTAAAACCTTGGGGCACTTGAGCATATTCTCTTTCTTGTCAGGAGTATGAAAGATTAAGTTTCTAGAACCACCAAATGTAATGAATTTGACTGGGAGATTTGCAGAACTTCAAATCTCATCAACTCTTGGTCAGGAAATGATGTTCCTGGGCATGCTCAAATGCATCCAGGCTTTAAGTAATATGCTCTCACCTTCAGAAGGGTATGCTTGCCAGAAGGAAGGGTGGAGCCAGGCGCAAAGCCCATTATGAGCTAGGCTGGAATGTGAGACTCCACTTATAATGGAACTACTCCTTCCAGACTGGCGTGTGTGCATGTGTTTGTGTGTAGGTCGAGTCCAAATGTCACTCAATCCAAAATCCATCAACACCTCTTTTAAAATATAGAGCAATCCAAAGATGCCAAATATAAAATTAATACAATTGCCAAGGTCTTTCAGTGAGCACCTGTACGCTCACCCACAACATTTTGTGCCTGAAGGTTATTCAGCTAGAAATTCCTTCTCAGGCAACCAATTTAATAGAAATAACCAGACAATATCCGGTAAACCTAAGCAACAGTCACAAGATCTACACAGAATGGCTCTTATTCCCCTTACCTCACTCAGCTTGGCCCAGTTGAAGGACTTCAGCGGATGAGACGGCTGTGGGGTTGATTTCTTCTTCAGACTGGGCCCAGTGCCGCTGAAGGTGGTGGCGGAGGAAAGGGGAGGCATGCCCATGTTGAAGAAAGGCGGTGCTCCGGGAGGTGGAGGAGGTCCTCCTGGGGGAGGAGGTGGAGCGGGCGGAGGGGGGCAGCTGGAGAATGGAAGTGGTGGTGGAGGCGGCGGCAAAACCTCCGGAGCTTGTAGAGAAGAGGCAAATGGGCCACCAGGAGGTAGCTGAGGAGGGGGAGGGAAGGAAATGCTGCCCCCTTGCTGAAAATAAGAAGAGAACATTCTGATTAGTGTTGCGTCAAAAACAGGTCCATTCTCAGGCCAGATGTTTTGTGTGTGAAAGGGGCAGTTCTGGCATTTTGAAAGGCAGCAGGAAAGAATTTTGGCAAAATCCTTTTCCCTTTGTCTATCTATGTTTGCCACAATGTCAGTGCTTCTCAGACCTGGGTCATGCCGATGGCCCACCTAGTACAACAACTTGCCATCACAGTGGCCAACCAGATGCCCATGGGAAACCTGTAAGTGGGACCTGAGGACACGAGAACTCTCCCTCCCTTGGTTTTCAGGAACATTGCTGCCTTGGACCATGGAGGCAGAGCATAGCAGCTCAGTGGCCATATCCTCCCCACAATGCCTCCCAAGATGTAGGACTCTTCAGGGAGGCATCAGTGGAGGGGAGGGAACATGGATGCAGCAAAACAAGTTTTGAAAAAACATAAGGCAGAAGCCTCTGCTGATACTCTTCTGGTACGGTCTTCACCTCTGCAATGTTTTTGCTATATTTCCCCTGCTGCCATCCTCAAAGATGTGCTTTTGACTTCTCAAGGTTCCTCAAAAATTGTCCACTGCAGAACTTCTGGTCAGGCTTTAAAGCTAACACAGACTAACAGCAAATATAACAGGATGTCAGCCTCATATGGGAGCTCTATTCCATCCTACAACAGCAGGAACATTCTGAATTCTTACATCAGGCAAATGGCTGCTGGGGAGAGGGACTTTTTAAGGCAGTGTCCAAATATGGAATTCCCCCTTCATATCCATTTCTCTGGCACCATCTCTGTTATCATTCAGGCACCTAGCAAAGTCTGTTCTGTTCCATCCTGCTGTTGTGGGTGAGGGGCACAGGTTAGCCACCTGGAGACACCCCAAGACAGATCAATGGGCAGAGAGAGTTGGGGTTACTTACAACTAAACACAGCACTTACCTTATGGTACAGCATAGGTATAGGTAAAGGGACCCCTGACCATTAGGTCCAGTCGCGGACGACTCTGGCATTGCGGCGCTCATCTCAATTTACTGGCCAAGGGAGCTGGCATACAGCTTCCAGGTCATGTTGCCAGCATGACTAAGCCGCTTTCTGGCGAATCAGAGCAGTGCATGGAAATGTCGTTTACCTTCCCGCCAGAGCAGTACCTATTTATCTACTTGCACTGCATGCTTTCGAACTGCTAGGTTGGCAGGAGCAGGGACCGAACAATGGGAGCTCACCCTGTCGTGGGGATTCGAACCGCCAACCTTCTGATCAGCAAGCCCTAGGCTTTGTGGTTTAACCCACAGCGCCACCCACGTTTGGTACAGCATAACACATGCATAATCCCACAAGGAATAAACTAAAACTGAAGCGATGAGCAAAATAAAATAACGGAAAGCATTTGATGTATGGCTACTGATTCTATTTTCTTTATCAGAGGGTTCATGAACCTTTCAGCAAGGGTATAACTACTTGCAAACTTTTCTTTCTCTTTAGAAAACGGCAGATGTACAAAATTAGAACTTCACTGTATCTCTTTTCTTTTTGTGTTTGTGCATGCTATGGAAGGAGAAGAAAAATCTCTGTATCCTACCGAGAACTCATTGAGTTGAGTTACAAGGTCGGTCATTTGGTCCCGGGTTTGACGTAGCTCCAGAGATTCCTTTTGCAGTTTGTCCTTCATTTTATTCAGCGTCTTCATCATTTCATCTTTCTCCTGGGTCTTTATCTCACATTCCCTTTCTTTCTTCTCTAGCCTACTCATCAGCTCAGCATGCTCTGCCGTGGAAAGAAGACCAAAGTGCGATGAATGATTTCAGACAAGCTACTCAGTCAAAAGCCATGAATAAGGGGAACAATGGGTAAGAAACATAATTGTAAACTTCCAGACATTCTAAAGGCTGATTCTTGATAGCTCAGTTGGTTACAGTGTGGTGCTGATAACACCAAGGTTTGATTCTTGTATGGGGCAGCTGCATATTCCTGCATTGCAGGTGGTTGGATTACAGGGGTCAGCAAACTTTTTCAGCAGGGGGCCAGTCCACTTTCCCTCAGACCTTGTGGGGGGGCTGGACTATATTTTGAAGGGGGGGAAATGTACGGATTCCTATGCCCCCACAAATAACCCAGAGATGCATTTTAAATAAAAGGACACATTCTACTCATGTAAAAACACGGTGATTCCCGGACCCTCCACGGGCCGGATTGAGAAGGCAGTTGGGCCGGATCCAGCCCCCGGGCCTTAGTTTGCCAACCCATGGATTAGATGATCCTGAGGGTTCCTTCCAACATTACAATTCTATGATTCTATGATTATAAACGGCTTGGTTTGTGGAGTTGCATTAAAACTAGAAGGTAACCTGTAGCTCTCCAGGCGTTGGATCACAGTTTGTCTCATCCCTGACCACTGGCTATTTTGGCTGGGGTTGACGGGAGCTGGAGTCGAACAATATCTGGATGGCCACAGGTTACCCACCTATGATATAGATGCAGGTACAGTTTTTGAAGAGAATCAGCAGGTGTTTTCTAATGAGGAGACATCCCAAAAACTGGAAGCTTTATCAAAATGTCAGAATCAGATTTGCAGTAGGCAACTGGGTTAAGTCACCTATCCTTTAGCCACAATTCACATCTATAAAACAGGAACAATAGTGGCCTACACAATCATGCATCCCTAGAAACCTGTCATTCACTCCACTGCTTGGAGATCTGTGGTTCAATCAGATTCCCTCTCTATTATCCAGAGTATAAGATGGCCACATACCTTTTCGGAATTTCTCTGCCTGATCTCTCCACTGTTTCACTTCATTCTCATTTACCAACCTGAATGGAGATAAAGCCAGATCAGCTTAGATCTATACCCAAGTAATTAAATGCAAATATTCCTAGGAGAATAGGAAAAACCAGCTACTCAATAGTATAGTATTCTCAATACTATTACTAACCTACTAAGGTAAAATTAACATTCTCAATGTGAATGCAAATTGTACCAGATGAAAAGGCGACATTTATCCACAAAGAACGGTTATCTCCATGCTGATGAAATGTCATATAAAAGCAGGCCTTGTCCTTAACATGCTGCATAATATTCGGCTATTGGCAGTTAGCATGCTTCTTACATTTTAATGATGTTCTTGACATTGAAGTTCTCCAAAGGAGCTATATCAGGATCATCCCCTCGCTCATCCTGAAGAACAATTTGCTGCAGTATCCTGTCTAACAGCTGCCATTGTTGAAACGTCCCCCCATTTCGTTTATCTGCAACGACAAATGTCAGTGAGGAGATGCATCTAGATAAGTGGCTTTGATGAAAATCCCTGCAAATTTTCAATGAATGCTAAGACTGAGCCCTTCTTGATGACTTGGTTCCTATTGTGGTTGCTTCAGCCATTCTGACCTTTGTATGTTCACCATTCATTATTTTAGTGAGTTCCCTTTAAAGCCACATTGGATGTGATCATCAGGCAGGAAGAGGAAGTGACAGTGCAATCCTAACCATATCTCCACAAAAATCAGTACTATCTAGTTCATTGGGGCTTCAATGAATTCACTTTGAAAGAGAACTTTGTGGAGATGCGCACCAGCTCCTTTATCTTGTGTTCAAACCTAATTTCTGAAGCCAGCTACAGTGGATTAGGAATCTCATATTTGCTACTGAAACCAAATTTCTACTTCAGTGGAAAAGATGACCAAATATTCCTGGCAGATATTCATCCTACAGGAAGCCTTTGCCTAAGTGTACTGATTGGAAGAAACTAATCTGCTGTTACTAGGCCATTCAATCAGATGGCTTTCGATCCCCATATTTGTATCATATGCCTCAAAGAGAAATTACTAATTTGATTTTCTAATTAGGGCATGGGAACTTTCTACTTATCCATTCCCATGCGGTGCCAAGCAAAAACCAAGCCTTTTCTGTGAAATTCCCACTTAATAGCAACAAGAGTTTTCTCTTTTTTTAAAAAAATAACTTCATTCTGTGTCAATTAAAGGTGGCACCTGTTTCTCAGACCCTGAGCACAAATGTCCTTTCTTGCCTTTCTTAATAAACAATAATTTAATCAAGAAGGATTTGGTTTCCAGTTGGACAGCATCCATCTACTACTTTTTAAAGAAGTGGCTGCTTCATTTTTGGAGACCTTAAGTGGAAACAAAGAAGAATAAGAAGAAATATGAGAAATCCCTCGTGCAAGCATGCAAGAGGCATTATCACAAGGACATGCTCCAGTCAAACAAAAGCACTCAAAAAGAGTGCAGTGCAAGTCTAGTGAGGGGTGTGGCTTTAGGAAAGTCCCAAGGACCGGATAGAGAGGCCTGGATGCTCTCATTCAGACCCTAGGCTTGAGATTCCTCACCCTTGCTGTATACTAAGCACCTACTCATACTGGATAACTCATCTGGCTTCTTTCACCAGCCAATCCTCAAATACTTTCAAGAATATTTTCAATGGTCATATTAGAGACTTTCATATGAATGGACTTGGCTAGGTTTCTCACTAAACAACACAATGGAAAGTAGGGCTCAGGAAAAAAAGAGTGGATTGACTAGAGTTCCACTATAGGGGAGCCCAATTCTCTAAAGCTCCAGAAAGGTAAAGATTCAACAAGCCATACTTCTGTCATTCAGAAAATCTTCCCAATCAGGGAATTCTGCAGTACCCACAGGGAGAAGAAATATACTCACAAGGCATTTGCAAGCAGTGCTGGAGTACAGATAGTAAATATGGATAAGCATCTGTGTGCTTCAACCTCTTCTTGATCATCTCAAACATCTGCGAGGCACTCTTTGTGTCAATATGTGCCTATAGCAAAAGGAAACATGGGAAGGTGCAGAGTAAAACAAGAGAAATCTCCTAGTTTTGAAATCCTATGAGGCATCTAGTATTAAAATCTCAGAAGGACTGAAATGCACACCACCATTTGTGAAGATATGCTTCAAACTGAAAAAGAGGGGGAAGGAGGCTTCGCAGTGATGGGTTACTTTGATGACAAATTAAGTCTAAGGCAATTAGGGACAGAATATGGTTTACAAGGCAAGACATGGGGATGGTTGTTGTTGTTGTTTAGTTGATTAGTTCGTGTCCGACTCTTCGTGACCCCATGGACCAGAGCACACCACGCACTCCTGTCTTCCACTGCCTCCCAGAGTTCTGTCAAATTCATGTTGGTCGCTTCTATAACACTGCCCAACCATCTCATCCACACGGGGATGGTACAAGTGTACATAATAACACCTTGCTATCAGCAGCACCAAGTGGTGTGTATATATGAGAATGAGCTGCATGCTGAACACAAGAGGTAGCATTTTTGTATCACTGAACACTGAGATTTTGAAGGTCAATTCAGCTCAGTCCATAGTATTGAAGGAGCTAGTTCCTCACTGCAATATGTCATGCTACTCCACTTGCCTGAGAGAGGAGGAACCTGACTTTTAGTGGTGCTACTCCTACCCGGCAGATAAATTTTGGAAGGATGGGGGGGATACAAATCCTGTTACACCCCATGAGAACTGCCCTGTGTGGTTCTACAACCATTCTTTTTCTATATGGAATAAATGCTTTATAACTAACAACAGGAAAGATTAATATGCATCAAAAAAATTATATTGCTTCTGCAATTAAAAAAACCCCACCCCAAACCTAAGGGACAAGCAATAAAAGCACCATAATTCCATAGCTATAGTGTTGACTGAAATCATGAAAGCACCATACGTTGTTGTTTTGGTGTGCTATTTGTTGCTTGTAAAAAGAAAGAAAAAAGAGCTTCACTGGAAACTCAAGAGCTAATCTGGGGCAGGTGCTTGGCTCAAAGAGCAGGGAGCTGTCCACTGGGACTCTATAATTGATGGTGCTGAATTTAGAAGCTCCATGTATGGTTAAATAACAGAAGCTTACATCATCGAGTCAAGAGAGTATGAGACCGGAGCAGTGTCACTCCAAACATCTAGCTTGTAGGGACATTCAATTTATCCCACAAAGGAGCATCTTCCAGCTCTAAGTGAGTAAAGTCCAAGATAATCTAGAAAACAAGACTCCAGAATGCAGGCAGACTATAGGTCCAAAAGACAGGAAAAAAGCAACAGCAACAGATGGAAGGGGACCAATCTGACGAGCCAAGCCAGTAGCTTCCACAACATCCAAGTCCAAGCCTGTTATGGCTCTCCAGTACATTTGCTAAATACTTGGAACAGGCAACCACATTACGAACAGGTGAACAAACAACAACTAGACAGAGGAGCTTTAAGTATTTGGTGCCATGAAGTTGAGAGACAGAATCCTGACATCATCTAAATTCATCCAGTGCCACCAGTCAACATTGCTGGCTGCTTTTTTTTCGTCTGCACTGTAAATAAGAAACAGAGCAACCCATATCTCTTCAGTTGTGAGAAAATCAGATCCTCACCACATGGAAAAATGGGGGGGGGGAATCATATAAATTTATACTAAACAGCCAAAGCAAACAGGAAAGCTTTTCTGACTTTTTTAAAAAATAAAAAAGCCTTTCCAGAGAAACACTCACCACTTCAAACCTCTTTGCAAGTTCCAAGTCATCTTCATTTCTTACCATCTCAAAGAAATCTAAGTGCCTAGAAGACAGAATAAAATAAAGTCATACAATCCACCTCTTGCTTGCAATAGTGCAAGCTGGGTGAATGGGGAAAGACTGTTTTCCACTGAAAGAAAGGATAAAAAGGGAAAGGTGCTACCTTTTCCTTAATTCAACTTGGTCTGATGAGCTTATATTAAGTTTTGACTTTCACAATGTTATGCTTCCCACAGAATAAAGTATTTCAATGCTTGTTGAACTTTAAATCCAAAATAAATGATAAATACATAATGGGAATTGGGAGTGGGACCTACCGAGAAGCTGTTAGAACAGACAACAATTGACAACTCCCATCAGCTTCAGCCAGCATGGCAAGTTGGGATGATGGTAATTGTAGTCAAACAACATTTACAGTGAAACAACATCCCTGAAATGAACTAAGGTGTGCATACAGATAATTTAAAAGTGAATGTGCAGAGAGTTTACAGTAGATGTGCATTGGACATGTGTTTGTTGGGATCACATCCAGTCACTTAAGATTCCAAGCTTTGCACTACAGAGTCTGTGGGCCTTCAATCCATGTTGATTGACCCTCCCATCAGTATGACATATGGATACAACATCTCAGAGTAGACTCTGCTGCTTGTGAAATCCAAGGTGTAGCTATCAATAGTAATGTTGCCCGAACTCCAGAAATTACCTGTACAGGAATATACATTTGCTCACTATCTGAAAAAGTGTGCATGCACACGAAAGCTTATACCCAGAACAAACTTAGTTGGTCTCTAAGGGTCTACTAGACATTTTTTTATTTATTTCAACTGCATCAGACCAACACGGCTATCTCTCTGAATACATTTGCTCGGTATGTGTATGTGTGAATTGTCAACATCAAGCCAAGGGAAATTTGTCCATCACTGGATATTGAGTACACAACAGCCTCATATTTTCTCAGCATATATGGCTCACCTATCCAGCGTTGCATTTTCATGTCCTCTGAGCTTGTCAATAACAGGTTGAATGCCCAGCATTAAAAACTCATATCGTAGGTGCAATCGAAATTCCAAATTGTCCTAAAGGAAAAGGAAAAAAAATAGATCAAGTCATCAGAGGGGAGGGGATCAGGCTGATTCCAATAATTGCTATTCATCAGTTCCTGTTGTTCCTATCAGCTATCCCACCGTGCTTCACCACTGAGCTACGGGATAGATACCCTACTTTTTAAAAAGAAATGCTCAAAGTGGCTTACAAGTAATAAAATATACATATAATAAAACCAAACCCACATAATGCAACACACTCTGTTAAAGACTTACCTCACCAGTACCTGCATTCAAAACAGCATTAATAAAGGACATGATGGCAGTTTTGAGATTCACTTCATCTCGATATCGCCCCAGGCTCCGGTCGAGCTCATTGAGTAATGACTGCAAAGAAGAGCAGGGAGAAAGTAATGCACACTACCACTGTAATGCTGAATTTCATTATAGCTCCTGCCCAGAAACACACAGAGCGCAAGTTATTGTTCAAATGCTTAGAAGAGAGTGAAGAGAGGCTATGAGAAAAGCTTATGAATGCAAGACAAACATTTCTGCTTGATAACCTAAAATGGTTCAAAAACGTATTTTCTGCTTCACATTATTTGCTTGTTGAAGCTTGGAATATTAAAGCCATCAGTTGGATTCCCATGATGGCTTATAAAACAACAAACCAAATTATAACAAAACATGAAAACAAGAACTTTGAAACACCACAATATAAAAAAGGGATGGGGAATGTCTGCCCTGTGGGACAAATTTGACCTGCCACAGGTCTCTTCTAACAATGTGTTAACTTTTTGTTTATAAAATTATCAATATAGAACTACATTTAAATGTAACAGATCAAGGACACAATGCCCCATTCCCTTCAAAGAGCTAGAATTTTCAAACAGTTAGGTCCTCTTCCCAAGGAAGTCTGGGAATTATCTCCTCAGCAGAATTGATGAAATACAGGTCCCAGAATTCTTTGAGGGAAACCATGATAGTTTGAAGTGGTATGATACTTTTTTAAATGCATAGTACACATGGGGCCATAATGGTTTTTCCAACTGTTGATAATGGGTGGGGAAATAAAAAGCTAAATAGCGATCAGCAAGAAAAGCTGCCCTGGGTCACTCTTAGGATTACTATACATATTATAAATCAATGCCAAGAAAGATAAAACCAACTAAAATTAATCAAAACAAATAAAATAAAATAAAATAAAAGGTATCTGAAGAAGTGTGCATGCACACGAAAGCTCATACCAAGAACTAACTTAGTTGGTCTTTAAGGTGCTACTGGAAGGAATTTTTTTTGTTTTGACTATGGCAGACCAACACGGCTACCTATCTGTAACTAAAATTATTCAGTTCATTAATTGCACTAATATTTATACACGGCATTACATTGGAGCTGAACATGATCTTCATGCCTCACTTCATGAAAGACAGAAACATGAGGCAAAACTACCAAAGAAAATAAGGTCTTAAGTGCAGTGAAATTTTGCATTGTGAAAGTTATCTGTTTTTATTGTTGCTCCTCGTGGTGGAGTACCATACCTACAGAAATCACTGCTTTCTATTGGATTAGTGCTGGTTTATGCAGATGCTATTCTTTAGGCCAATTCCTCCTCCTCCTCACGGGAGTGGCTTAGTAACAGTGAACCCAGTGTGGTGTAGTGGTTAAGAGCGGTAGTCTCATAATCTGGGGAACTGGGTTCGCGTCTCCGCTCCTCCACATGCAGCTGCTGGGTGACCTTGGGCCAGTCACACTTCTTTGAAGTCTCTCAGTCCCACTCACCTCACAGAGTGTTTGTTGTGGGGGAGGAAGGGAAAGGAGAATGTTAGCCGCTTTGAGACTCTTTAAAGGGAGTGAAAGGCGGGATATCAAATCCAAACTCTTCTTCTTCTTCTTCTTCAGTTGAGACCAAGAGGCTATGCCGCAACCATTGCAGACGTCTTGTCGCTGACATTATAGATTTGTCTGCTTGACCATTTTCTAGAGTTGTTCTTCATAGCTAATGTGTAATTAATGATACAGACTCCAATATTTTTTAAAGCAGGATGTTTGATGGGATATGGGCTGTAACTCAGCAGAATATCACATCTCTCTCTCTCTCTCTCTCTCTCTCTCTCTCTCTCTCACACACACACACACACACAAACAAACACACACACACACACACACACACACACACACACCCCTGCACCTTATGCATGGTTGTATGAGAAGAAATCCCAACACATGACCTCCTACCCATGAGTAGGGGGCTACATGTGACCAGGAAACTTGATTGTGTGGGTGTCTCAATCACATGGATTCCCTATACACATACTGGAACCTGTGCACTGGGCAAGTCCTTCTCACTCGTGGTTGGGTGTGTATGCATGGAGATGCTTAAAGTACAGCCCCGTTCCTCTCTACATGCACTTTCACCCTTCATTACTTTCAGAAGACTGTTACAGATTCACAGTGTGCACCCTTCAAAGATCAACCGGCTGCACAGAAGCACTAAATCAAATTGCTCTTAGCATAGAGTCAGCTAATTTGACAACAAAGACCAGATATGCTGAGTAAGGATTCTTCCTTCCTGCTTAATAAGTTCATTCACCCCTTGCTACTGGACAGGATTGATACTGATCCATAGTTGCTTTTCTGTCACACTTGAAACTTGGAAGTTGGGACAAGGCAGTCAATGGTTATGAGAGCAGGGGGTTGGGCAGCAGAAAGCCAGGGGCCTACAATAAATTTGAGTCCACATACTTCCATAATGGGATCCTCAAAGGAGCATGTTTTACCTCTGGAGACTCTATCTAGCACTCTGCTTCTACACACATATTTTTCCGGGGGCGGGGGATCACCTAACAAAGTATTTGTCTGCATATCTTTACTAACACACACACTTTTGCACACAATTTCCCCTTATATAGATATTTTGCAAATGTTGGTGCCCTGCAATTGCAAAATTTTGAGAAGCGTGAATTTCGAAGGATAACTGCATTTCAATTCACACATTGGTCTGGGAAGTGATAATTAGGTGGGATCGCAATAAAATGTGAGCCAAACTAATTATGCTACCATCACCCAAATCCCTATTTGAAATTCGAAAAATCCAGGGAGAGACCTGGAGACAGTGGATTTTAGAAGTATCCCTAAGAGTGGCTACTGGAAGCAGTAGAGACATGCATGATAGATGATGCCCCCATATAAAGCCAGTGGGGGAAAGTTAATTTAGTGTTGGACTGGTGTCTTTTAAGACTTAATATTATTAAACAGATTTGAGTTGTTCTGGGACATTAATGCACTAGCTTCAGCTGAAACACAGTCCATTTCACCTCCACCCTCCTCTAGGTTTTAATCTCTAAGCCTGTTCTACAAACTGTGAATGCTACTTCTCTATTCCTTGGTGGGCAAATCAAGAACAAGACTCAGCTTTGTGTTCCCCGCCATCGGAACCTGTCTCTGACCTAAGCTATTTTGGTCTTCAACCAAATTCAATATTTTCCCATTTGCCAGGACCATTTCTTCAAGTTGTCATCATTCTTTTTTTATTTATTATATTTTATTTTAAAAGGAGTAAGCACTTCAAACACTGCAAGTCAAATAAAAGCAACTAATTCAGCAAGCTGCAGAAACAGACAGGAGTGGGCAGGGGGTGGGAGAGGTTGTCAGTCCTATTCCTTTGGACTCAGCAGAAGTTTTCAGCATATGCAAACGCAAACGACATCTGCCACTCTAAAATTATGTGAGTGAGGAGAGGAGAGCTCAGAGCTTCTCTCTTGCACCTCTGACATTATTGGAAGGACTTGAGTTTTTTCCTCTCCTTCTAGACAGATGAGGCCTTACATTAACTCATAACTACAACATTAACATTAAAAAAAAAGATGAAGGTAGAAGGAACAAGTGGGAATATGAATCACAGAGAGACAGGAAAAGTTGAGAGCAAAAACAATCAGAGGGCCAAGACTTAATTAATATTCCAAGTTGTGGATTTCCTTCCCAAAAGAAGTTGAATTAGGCCCATCCTACACATTTTAGGCTTTTAAAAATGTAAAAAAAATAAATCATTAATTTCTCTGGCCTTTAACGATGTTCAATTATGTTAAGTAAAGGTAAAGGGACCCCTGACCATTAGGTCCAGTCGTGGCCGACTCTGGGGTTGCGGTGCTCATCTCGCTTTATTGGCCAAGGGAGCCGGCATACAGCTTCTGGGTCATGTGGCCAGCATGACTAAGCCACTTCTGGTGAACCAGAGCAGCGCATGGAAACACCGTTTACCTTCCTGCCGGAGCAGTACCTATTTATCTACTTGTACTTTGACGTGCTTTCGAACTGCTAGGTTGGCAGGAGCAGGGACCGAGCAACGGGAGCTCACCCCATCATGGGGATTCGAACCGCCGACCTTCCAATCGGCAAGTCCTAGGCTCTGTGGTTTAACCCACAGCGCCAACTGAGTATAGGTATATAGGTAGGTCCCTATACTCTTTTCATTTCTGTTTAAAATGCTTTAACTTGTTTTAGTGATGTTCTACTCAGAGGCTGTGTTCGCATGTCATGTTAAACCATAGTTAAACATGGGCTGTGGTTTAACACAAGTGAGCAGGGTTTCCTGCTTCATTCCTTCTCTTCTTCTAGCTATGCTGTGCTGGAAGCAACTAACCACAAGCCTTGCCTTGTTATATTGTCCAAACCTGGGTTTGGCTACAATTCATGGGGTGTTGTTGTTTTTTGGAGAGAAATGAATCACCTGCTGAAGTTTAGAAAACAGGACAAGCTGGGGCTTTTGGTTTATTGCACCCAGCACCAGGAGCAGGGAAGCAGATACTTTTGAACAACAACAACAGTAAAAGCATCAAACCTAAGATGCTATGAAGCTACATGACAATCTCCTGTTCTTGACTTCTTTTAATATGAGCATCAAGATCACACGGAGTCAACAGATATGGTCATCAGGAAACAGAATGAAACCATGGACAGCGGATAAATGCTTACCTCAAAAACATTCTGAGCAGAGGAGGACATAACATTATCCCCTCATTGTGCTTGTAATAAAAGGTTCTCTTTGCTACAACTGTTAGACTTTAGATCAGGGATGGGGAACCAGTGGCTCTCTAGATGAAGTGGGACTCCAGCTCCCATCAGTACCAGTCAGCATTGGCCAATGGTCAGGGATAATGGGAGCTGAAGACCAACAACAATTGGAGAGCCGCAGGTTCACCATCCTTACTTTAGACCTACATGAGCATTCAAAATGATAGAAACAGTCCAAAGTGATAGAATTCATCCCTTGACTGAATATTCAAGATTCGAACTATTGCATCTATTATAGCTGACACCAGCACTTCTTATGCCAATATTCAAAGGGAGAAAGATGAGTTGAAGGCATTCAAAGTTACCTTGCCTGA